TCGATGGGCGGAAAATTGTAAAATTGTATAGATAATAACGAGCCACGCATGCACGGATAATCGGTAAAATTTATGTAGGGTAATTTGTCAAATTTCACCATCGTGTCAATAGTAATTCGAGTCGTTCACGAGCAGGAGAAAGCGTGGCTGCTTAAAAACCAGTTAAATCATCGAAGCTTGGGGCATATAGGAGAGATAAATGAAATATGATCGATCGGTGTAATAAATGATATTGGGAAAAGAAAGACAGACAGAGCCTGCAAATATGGACGATTAATGCGATGACACTAGTCGAAAGAGTCAATGTCACATAAGAATAGCCATGAAAAATACTTGAACTTTGTTATTATAATTTCTTAATTAAGACGGCCGTGTAATTGATTTGCTCGACAGAACTGTATAAGCTGACGGGCGAGGTGCTAGGCGAGGGGGCCTATGCCTCGGTGCAGACGTGCACCTCCCTCTACACGGATCTCGAGTACGCGGTGAAAATCATCGACAAAATACCGGAACACGCGCGTGAGCGTGTTTTTAAGGAGGTCGAGACGTTTCATCATTGCCAAGGCCACCCCAACATCATCCAGCTGATCGAGTTCTTCGAGGACGACGAGCGGTTCTACCTCGTGTTCGAGAAGGTCAATGGCGGCCAGCTGCTCAACCGCATCGAGGAGCGGGTGCACTTTAGCGAACGCGAGGCCAGTGAAATCATCAGCGACATCGCCAGTGCCCTCAAGTTTCTTCACAAGAAAGGTGAGCCCCACGAACCACCAATAATGTGCAGCTTTTTAACCATTTTTAACGCTTTTTACAATCGAGTCTGCTCTTCAAAATTTTGTTATCTCCAATGGAAGTGCACTGTTATTATTATTGTTAGTATCGTTGTCCTTGTATTATCGTTTTTTTATAATATTTTTAGTCGTTCTTTTTCGTCTTATTTACATTTAATGCCTTTTGTTTTTATGGTATTTGTATTTGTATGTAAATTGAAAACATTTTATATGCCAGTAGCAGCGATTTATGCGCTTATGTGTTGCTTGAACTATTATTCTTTTATAATCTTAACGAGAGAAAAATCTCAATGAGAAAAAATTAACTCTGTTACACTCGGTTTAATCTAATGCAAATTTCAATTCCAATTTTTTTAACGAATGTCTAATATTTTGTAATCATCTATTATTTCACGTCTTATCAGCACATTCCTCGTTCAAGTGCAACACGAAACAGAGGAGCGATCCTTAAACATTATTAGCCCTTAAATATTATTAGTTCGGATATTATGCTGATGTTACTTTGTATTTGCTTGTATCGCAAATATCAGCTTCGAAACGTAAAAGTAAAGCATTGGCTTTTGTTTTCATTACAAAACACGCGCGCGTGCGCGCGCCATTAAAAAATTTCGATTAATTTGAATATGTGGCCGTTACGTGACGACGGCGTTGTGACGTGACGGTGTTGTGACGATCGATGGTAATTATATTTTAATAAATGTCCATTGTCATTAACGTCAGTGAAATTTTGAAGCTGAAAGAGCGCGAGCATAATAAAGCAGAAGCGGCGAGAGTAGCCTAGCGTCTTACGAGAATGTCGCATCCTTAATTTGCAGGTATCGCCCATCGCGACTTAAAGCCGGAGAATATCCTGTGCGTGTACCCCGATAAGCTGACTCCCGTGAAGATCTGCGACTTCGACCTCGGCTCGGGTATCAAGTTCAACAATACGGCCTCCTCGCCCTTGGCGACGCCCCAGCTTCTCACACCCGTGGGCAGCGCCGAGTTTATGGCGCCGGAAGTCGTCGAGGCCTTCATCGGCGAAGCCAATTACTACGACAAGCGCTGCGACCTCTGGAGCCTTGGAGTCATCATGTACATTCTCCTCTGTGGTTATCCGCCTTTCTACGGAAACTGCGGCAACAGCTGCGGCTGGGAGCGCGGCGAGAACTGTCGCGGCTGCCAGCAGCTCCTCTTCATCAGCATCCAGCGTGGCCACTACGAATTCCCCGACTCCAATTGGGCCAGCATCTCCGAGGAGGCCAAGGATCTCATTAGCGGCTTGCTGGTAAAACAAGCGAATCACCGTCTGAGCGCCGAGTGCGTCTTGGCTCATCCCTGGATCAACCCGGGTCCGGCTGCCGGCGAGGTCGCCGATAAGCCGCTGACCACTCCCCAAATCATCAGGTTAGAAACGAGCGCTTAGTAGGTGGCTGGGGACGATGCTCGGCCAGGTGACTCGGACGATCAGCGATTAACCGGCACGGACGTTCGCTTTGATATTTTGCAGGAGAAACAACTCGGCGCGTGAATTATCGGCGTTTGCCGAGTCCGCGATGGCGGTGAACCGCGTCGTCCTGCAGCACTTCTCCGTGAATCTCGAGGAGCTTTTGGAGAATCGCGAGCAGCGCCTATCCACCTCCTCGACCGACGACGACAACTATCCGTACGGGCATATGTCGGACTCGAAGAGCGAGCTTTCCGAGAGCCACTCCTCGAGCGAGTTCCACGAGCAGCCTGGAGGCCGCCCCAAGAACGAGAAGAGCGAGTCCTCGGACAAAATCGGCATTGTCGGCAAGTCGCGACTCGTCGTTGGCAAGGAGTCGCTCAATTTATTTGGCCTCTCCCCACCTAGCGAGAGTCGCCTCATGCAGCGGCGGCTCAAGGCTCGCTCGGACCTGCTACAGAGCCAGAGTGCGCCCATCGTCGCCTCACCAAGTGGCTGAGTTAGTTTAGGCCAACGGATCGCATGTTTCGGGCGACTTTGCGTCGTCCCTGTTGCTGCCGTATCTGGAGCAGCTTTCTACCACCCCGACGTTCGCCATGCTTTTGAACGCTGTTGTAGCTGCTGTTGCTGCTGTCGTCACCACCGTCGCCGTTGTTGTCGCCGTTGCCGTTGCCGTTGCCGTTGCCGTTGCCGCTGCCGCTGCTTCCGCCGCCGCCGCCATCATCATCATCATCATCATCATCATCATCATCGTCGTCGTCGTCGTCGTCGTCGTCGTCGTCGTCGTCGTCGTCGTCGTCGTCGTCGTCGTCGTCGTCGTCGTCGTCGTCGTCGTCGTCGTCATTACCACCACCACCACCACCACCACCACTATTATTATTATCATCATAGTTTTCGTGGTCGTCGACGTCGTGACGTCGTATTATCACCATTACCATTATCATTACCATTACACCATCATCATAATCATATTCGCTGTACCGATGTTGCTACTGTTGCCGCGGATGAATTTGATAAACAAACAATGACCATGTTATTTACATTTCGTTACTATCTCCTAGTCTCCATACGATTCCGAGTCTCCGAACAAAGAGAGACAGACATACTTTGCCATCTTTTGCATATCTTAAGTGCATAATTAGCATTCATCCGCGGCATTTGTAGACACGTTAAACAATGATTGGCGACATTTATGCGTAAACCCGATAAAAACAAAGTCTAATGCATCGAGGACACTGCAACCAATTGAATATATTTATTGGCAATCAAGCGAGTCGATTTTATTCCTTACTACGGTTAAATTAACTTTTGGACTTTGTTGCACGACCAAATAGATTTTCATCATGCATAATATATGCAGAACTAGTCGTGCGTATATTGTTTGTTTTGTTTGTTTTGCTTTTTAAAAATATATATTTGGCATTCTCAACAATGGTGCCATTATTCAGCTGGTTATTTTTATAAAGTGGATATTATTCAAACAAGTTTGAAATCCATATTCATTGTAACTTAAATTCATTCTTTTATAAGTAAAAAAATTTTAATTACAATTGTTCTCATTGTCTCATCTTCGACAGGTTTTAAGTTAAAATTTTAATTGTGCATAAATTATGCACGGTATGTTTTAAATTGCCTCGAGCATTTTTTATTGTTTATCTTTCACGTACGATTTAGTTATTCAAATTCATTTGTCAGATCAATTCATTTACTCGACTTTTTTGCGCTTAACTTGTAAACGTAATTTAAACAATAGTAACCAAAGTTAACATTATTAATATTAAAAAGGAAACAATTTAAAAGATAATAATTTAAATGAAAGAAAGAATAAAGCTATGCAGTGTTCTCTTTGCGCATCGGTATTGTTGTAATGATTGCTCACTAAGATCGTAAGGTTTAGTTGTAGATTATTAAAATCTGATAATGATTAAATTTTTAATTAGCGGCGTATATAATTATAAAATGGAATTATAGCGCAGAAAAATGGATTTATTAAACCACCTTCTTTACAAGTGCTTAAGGAGTTTAAGAAGAAGATGAAGAAGAAGAAGAAGAAGAAGAAGAAGAAGAAGAAAAAGAAGAAGAAGAAGAGAAGAAGAAAAAAAGAAATAATTGTAGCACGTAGTGCGCGAAGGATCAATTTCACATTCTGTGAAATCCTTTAAAATTTGTACCTGTGTTGTAAGCGAATTAGGCGGGAGGAAGAAGATATTACGAAACTAATGAAACGGGTTTTCAGAAGGAAATCGTATGTTTGAGAAAATATTTTTTATTAGGTTTACATGCACTTAATTCAAAGCTGTTGTTAACGTTTTATTAATTACTTTTTTATTTTCTTTATGCATTGAACCTTTTTCTAACCTAATATGTTATATTAAAATTTCAATCAATTGCTTTAATTTTGTCTTAATGTCATAAATCGGACTAGATTTTAAGAATTTGCTTATTATAAAAGATAAATTAAAACGATACAAAAGTTATTACTTTTTTTTTATTAATTTTTTTTTTAATTTTTTTATTTTACTTTTATCCGATTTTCTCCTTTAATTTTGTCGTGAATTTATTTCCGACGTCGGGCTTACTTCCAATCACATTATTTTTACGATTTTCGAAAGAATGTTGAACCAATCTCATTATACGTGAAATTGTATAATGTGAAGTACGACGGGGCCAATAAGGCTTTCACGGAAATGCATTTTGTATTAAAAACAAAGAAGAAAAAAAAAACAAAAACAAAAGAAAAAACCACCGGTTAGCCGGACATAAATGCATTAGCGTATTTTGTCCATTATTATAGATGCGTTAAAATTAAATTAAAGCCCCTCACTTTGATTTTGTAGTTTGCACGAACAGAGTTCTTTCAAGGTATTGATCAATGTCGGTGATAGTATGTCTTAGGCTTACAATATAAATAGTATTTCGCCTAATGTACATTATTCGTAATGTTAGAAAAAAAATGAAGAAATAATTTCTCCGCCACATGATACATATTAAACTCGACCATGATCAAATAACCTTATGAAGAATATTAAGAAAGCGCGTAAGTGTATATAAGAAAAAAAAAATTACACTGTATGAGGGGATGTGTTGAACAATTATTAATACATTAGGACCCGATGCGAATGAAAGGATAATAAAAAAATTTTCATTTTACGATCTTTAATAGTAGTACTTCGATTTTGATTGAGAAGCATGTTGATTACGAAAAATTAATTTTAATGATGTTTCTCCGTGCCAGTGTTCTCAATTCTCTTTTTCTCCTCCTTTAATGAAGGAAAATAACAAATATCTTTAAAAGCTCGCGGAGAGACATCACCTATACGTCCAGATGACAATGTAAATACTGAGTTTTAAGATACTCTGATTGATGCGCATGGGCGATTAACGCGTATATCAAGTGATAAATAGAATATCAAACAAGACAATTAATTGTATACTTGATAGTGCGATTAAAAGAAAATAAAGATACATTGAAATATTGAAATTTCGTCCAGACGCTGGCGCGGATGAAAGGTATCGAGTCGCATTTTTTTTTTTTTAAGTTTCTTCTTCCTCAACAAATTGTTTTCGTATTCATAAAAACAGTCAAGTCAGACTTAATGAAAGTTCGCGTTTATGCGTTATGTAAATAAATGTAAATGCGAAATGAAAAAAAAAAATAAAAAAAAAAAATTAAATAAATAAAAAAAAAAAAGATTGAAATAAAAGGTTAAGCAGGGGTACAAGATAAGATATATCGTAAAGACGAAGAAAGAAAATACAAAATGGCCATATAGTGATCATTGATTCACGCGGGGCGCGGCGAGAATATAACGAGAATAACAAATTTTGTGGAAATTCTCATGTGAGTCGAATACGTTTAATGAAGTCTAACTATTAGTTTATAAGCAGATGATTGTAAAAGATACGCCTGTAACGGCTGCTGAGGATGGCTGTGCGAGAAACTGAAAGCGCGAGCTTCTGTTTATGCTTGTATAAGATTTATTCGAATGTAAAATGAAAGAGAAAGTTAAATTTTCATTTTTTGTCCCTTTATCTGCTGTGGCTGTTATAATGTTATAATGCCACGGTCCGAACAGTTATTCGGATAAAATCTGTTTTTGTAATTAAAATAATTTGAAAATGAATTATTTATGTCGACGAAGCTAGGAAGTTTGATTGTAAAAAGAAATTATCCATCACCCGTATGTTTCAGAGTTTACTCTTTCATGGTCATTCGAAGACAAGCGAATAAAGAAAATATTAAACGGTATTAACTTGGCGTTAAAGAGACGATCAATGAGGAGGATAATGATCAATCGCAACGGCAGTTTATACACACATGTAAGCGTAGAGAGCTTGCTCTTTCTCTCTTCGATTCACAAAGTAAGTAAATGAAGGGTGAGACAGGCAAGATGTTGCTACCGTCGTTGAACCAGCTGCCAAAGTACTGTACGCGAACTCGAAGGGGGAAAG